ATATAAATATTCTATCAATTCACCACTATCCTGAGGGGAAAATTCACCCTTCACATTCCAACCACCACCTTCGCCCTGCCCTACAGGACAGGCTAACAGACTCTTGCAATCCAGATGTCCCACACTTGTGAGTCTGGGCTGTGGGCCAGCACTAAGGTTCTCCCTGGCATTTGTAGAGATTTCACATGGATATTGTCCTTAGCCAAGGTCGCATTTCCTGGCATCGCTCATTTCCTGTCTCTTCAGTGCTTGGGTATTTTCAGTGGCAATGCTATAGGTAGGCATGGTACGTAAGGGTTATATGGCATTTCAGTTTCCTTAACCCTGAGTTAATGAAGTTTGCGTATAGGAATTGTCTAGTTTTTAAAAACCAAACCAACACAAGGAGCAGGGAGCCTGATGGGCAGGAAAGCCTTTACGTGCTGAGCACTGCTGGCCCAATTCTTCCCTGAGCTGGCGCTGAGCCCAGTGCAGGACAGACAAGGGGACCCATGTACCCTCCTAACCCTCAGAGGCTGCCCTAACTTGTGCCTTGGCTGGAACTGCCTTTTGCTGCCAGCAAGGCCCACTGAGTTAGCCGGGCAATGGAACACCCCAGCCACGTGCCCTCCACCCCTCGCACCAGGCGATCCTCTGTACTTGCCGGGGAGACCACCCTATGCTGTAGGTATTGTCTGGGGGGGAGGAGCTGGCTCACAGCTCCTTCACATCCCCTTGGTGCTGACCCACCTGGAGCAAGCACACACTGCACTACACGGGGAACACATTCTCTCTGCATGGCTAGCAGCTTGGTGCCCCAGACAACTTGTGCGGGTGGGCACACGAAGACTGCTGGAGCCTTGCAAGTCTCAGAAAGCCGGCGCGCCGCTGCAGCCCTGTATGGGCTTTGCTGTGGATTATATCATCCGCGGCTTGCGATCGATTTTGTATTCCCATGGCGGCTGCTGGGGCACAAACAGAAACATTTCTGACACAGGATCCAAACTGAAGATTACGGCGAGTGACTGCGGTGAACATTAAGCTGGAGCGATCTGAAGGAAGAGCCAGACAGCCGATTTACACTGCAAACAGGGAGCCACGTGAACTACTAAACTAATAAAGAGATTTAGGTGCGACTTTCCAGACAATTCAGTCTGCCCTGCAGAGACAGGGTGATGAACCTGTGAGGACTGAGACTGATTTTCAGAATGAACAAAGGGACATAATCCTTCTGGAACCTTAACTATCACTGCCCCTATAACAGAGCTACAGACCTTCCACAGGCGCCTCCACCACCCAGAATCCTCCTTCTTTCCTCCTCTCTTGCCGCCACCTCCTCCGCCATTTCCCCCATGACCGAGATCTTTTGGATCAGGGAGGCCTAGGGAAAAGAAAGTTGCATTAAGACAGACAATTGACTTTGAAGAGAGCCCAATTTCCCCATTCACACGCCGAACAGCCAGCCCATTTATTAAATAAGCCAGCCCTGTTTGGAAGGTCTAATTAAAAAATATTTAAAAAGAGGTAGACAGGGAAAGCAAGATAAAGCCAATTGTACTCAGAATCCTACAGTGCAACGAGGATTTTACAGATCTGAATTGAGGTGGGCAGGACTAGAAGAGCAGAGAGAGTTGGGTGTCATGACAAGGGTTGAATTCTCAGAGTAGTGGTGGTGGGGAAACGTACTGACTCATGGTCATGGGGGTATTTTAGGCACAAACATGCACACTGTAGCAATCGCTATCCACCCCCTCACTAACACTCTCCCACTCCTGAGCATCTTTATAAAACCTAAGGACCAGCCCTGGAGGATTTGGTACTGTTTACCTTTAGTCTGGTGAGCATCCTCTGCTTGGCCGGGACTTTTTCCATTCTTCTTAAAATACTTCTCAAAGCCTTAGAGAGAAAGTGATTGTGTTTTGGTTATTTAAAGGTACAGTGACACTGGACTGACACTGTGCAGTCAAAGAGTCCCCTCTGTTTATAGGGGAAAGATTCTGGGCAAACCAGGAAGATGCTAAACCAAAACCAAAAGGTCAGGGGAAATGATTTTGATGACAGCCTTTTGTACGGACCGCAGGGGGCAGATTAGTATCTACAAGACTGGAGAGAAGGAGGTTACAATAGTTAATACCAGATATCATTAGAGCATGTAGCTTTACATTTATTTACCAAACAGCATTGGCCAAGACAGATCTCTGCTTCTGGGATCTAACTTGGACAGATCGATCTAAGGGAAGGAAGAAACACCTGCTAGCTAGTATGTTGCTGCCTCTGTAGAGGGAAGGTCCCTGTGCAGAGGAATGCCTTGCATAGCACTCTTTGAAAGTCTACAGACAAACATATCCTGATCTCTAGGGGATCCCCCCATTCTCCAGCTCAAAGCCTGGAATGCAGACTAAGCCAGAAGAGGGACTCGCTCAGCTCACGTCGGTTACCTTCTACTATCCCACTGCAAAGGGGAGTTCTGGAGAAAAGGTGCCCCAACATTCAGGTTTTAACTCGGACTTCCTGAGGTGGACTGAATCTGCCTAAGGTGATTCTGTGGGGATATAAATCAGGGCAGCGGGCAAGAGCCCTGCAACACAACACTTATCAAAGGGCCATGAGCAGCTTGAATCTAGGCAGTTGCAGAAAGTGTTACAGTGAGGTTTGGGCCCTGCCCGAGTCTCCCTGCCAATTTGTCTGGATTTATAGCCACACGAACCAAAGCTGTTACCCGAAACACACATTAAAAACCCCACCCTTAAACAGAAGTGTGATTTTTAAGCTGATGACATCCCTTTAACATCACTAGGAGCAATTATTATTATTAATGGGCCCAGGGTCTAGCAAGTGATGTACATTATTAGATGTATTATGGTAGCTCCTGGGAGCCCCAGTCACGGCCCAGGACCCCGTGGTGCCAGACGACGTACAAACACAGAACAAAAAATCGATCCCTGCCCCAAGGAGTTCAAACAGATCTCTGTTCCCCATTGTTTTAGCCCTGCAGCAGCAGCCCACCCTCTGTGCGCAGGGGTGTTCTGCAATCCATTCCCAAGCCCCTTTCACTAAGGGCCTGCATTTGTGCCCTTCTTGTTTAACGTCTATATCCCTCTGCCAACCACAGCTACACCAAGAAAGCTAGTAGAAGCAAAAGGCCCTACAAGTAGCCTTGCTGAAGACGCATACCTTTGGGTGGTTTTGAGCAGAGCCATTGCCAAGCGGATGCTATGCTCCCTGGATAGTCCTGCTGTAGGGTGCGGATCCCCTTGAGCCACTAGAACAGTAAAGAGTAGTCTCATGTACACCGCTGACACAGGACTGAACTGGCTCCCGGGGGCCAGGCACCCTTAGAATGATCAGAGCGCTACTGGGCTCCAATTACCTTCTGGGACCGCAGGCAGCCCACGTGTAAACTAGAGCAGCTCTGGGGCTGCTCTAATTGACAGGACGAGCCACGCAGACCCAGCACGCCAGGAGGCACAAAGCAACCTTCGGCCCTGCCTCCCCAGTCCTGCGCGCAGAGCTCCTCAGCTGGACCCCGACTTAGCCCCCAGGTGCCGGCTCGGGCAGGGCCCGGGAGACTGGGCGCCGAGCTAGGCCTCTGCCTCAGTGCCCGGGCAGCCAGGGTGGGGCGGCAGAGGACGGGCCTGGTGTCCATGGAGCCAGCGCGGGCTGTGGGGGGCGCTAACCCTGGGCGGCTCCGTGGGCAGCTGGAGAACTCGGAGCATCATGGGAGGGTGAGCAGGAAACGCCCTGGCCCTGGCCCTGGCCCTGCCCCTCAGAGCACCACGGGGGGCGGGGCAGAGGGCGCAAGGGGCGGGGCTTTCACGGCTGTGCGCTCCTCCCACCCCGGCCAAGGCAGAGGCAGCCTCGTCCTAACAACCCGACCACGCCCCCTGACCAGCGCTTATCTCCGGCCATAGGGACGTCATCACCGCGTCCCGCGCGCGCCGGTGACGTCATCAGGGCGACGGTTTGCCCCCTTGTAGTGGCATACGGAGCCGTACATTTTACGACAATGCCGGAAAAGAAACAGTCACCTCTCACCTGCCGGATCGGTGCCAGGCCCCTGAGTCCAGCCGGTGTGTGCGTCCGGCAGCCCCCTCGCCATAGGGCAGCGAGAGGCGGCACCAGAGTCCCCCACGCGAGCCGATGAGCCATTCCCCACGGCTCCGCCGCGCCCTGACGCGCATGCGCAGAGTTCACGCCCGCGAAGTCTGTACGCACATGCGCCTTGCCCCTCGTCCTGGGCGGAAGCACCTGACGCCTGGGGGCGGGACAGGAAAGGCGCCGCCGGGGTCCCAGCGACACATTCCGGGTAGGGACGAGCGCTGGGGCCTTTGGTTCCGGGCTGCCCACGGCTCCGCGTTTCCCGTGAAGGCCCAGGGGCCCTGCCCAGAGCGGCCTCTCAGCGCAGGGACAATAGGCGGTGGGGTCTAGTGTGCCCCCCCCCCCGCACTGCAGTGGGGTGGGGGATTGCAGCCCTGGAGACGGACCCCAGCTAGTCCCCCCCCACGTCTGTAGTGGGGTGGGGGACCCCAGCTAGCCCCCCCCCCATGTCTGCACTGCAGTGGGGGATTGCTGGAGACAGACCCCAGCTAGCTCCTGGACTGCCCCCTGGCTTCCCTGCAAAGGGACAGTGTGCCAAGAACTGAGCTTTCATTTCTGCTACAACTGACAACGTAGCTGCAGGGGCCTAGGCTCACCCCCCCCCCCCCCCCGTGCATCCCCAGGGTGGGCTTGAACTGGTTGGTAGGTCACCAAACCAAGCCAAGCTATTTCTCTCCTCTCCCCCCCCCCTCCCCATCCTGGTCTGGCCAAGGCCCAAAGGGGAAGTTCTGTTAATCTGTGTCCCAGCAAATGCTGAGTCATGCTGTAGTCTTTAGTTCATTAGCAACTGAACTTTCCTTCCCAGGCTTCAGTGCAACAGGTTAAGTAATGACAGACCCAGCAGCAGCATGTAACCTCCATGAGTCATTTGGCCTGATCCCCACCGCCCCCTCCTTCAACAAACGAGCAATGCCGACACTCCATTAAAATGATCAAATACAGTGGTTTATTGAATCAATTCCATCGTACGTTAGATTCCTGTGCTACTATCCCCCATTCCTCCCCCTTGCTACAGCCACCAAGTTGTGGTGTAACCACAGGGAAACTTCCCCAGAGGTTTTGTTTTTGTCATTCACACTTTGCGAACTGCAAACTTTTGGTCCTGGGTCTGTCCTCTCTTGCTGTGCAGATTACAGGGCAGCTGTGTCAGCTAAACAGTTTTGTTCTCATTATGAAGTGACCCCTTGACAGGAGGGCAGGCATGGCAAGGAATCAGACTGCACTGTAAGAGGGGATGTTCACAATGTAGCTAGAAACATACCTCCCATGCTGGACAGACAGACACACACTAGCTCTGCTTGAGCTACCTGCTAAAGATAGTAGTGTGGCCAGTGTGGCATGGCCTAGCTCAGGGGTCGGCAACCTTTGGCACCCAGCCCGCCAGGGTAAAGTCACTGGCAGGTTGGTTTGTCTATCTGGAGCGTCCGCAGGCACGGAGCCCCGCAGCTCCCGCGGGCTGTGGTTTGCCAATCCTGGCCAATGGGAGCTGTGGGAAGCAGTGGCTAACACGTCCCTCAGCCCACACTGCTTCCTACACCCCCCTTTGGCTAGGAATGGCAAATCGCAGCCTGTGGGAGCTCCATGCCTGCGGATGCTCCAGATAAACAAACCGGCCCGGCCCACCAGCGGCTTTACCCTGATGGGCTGGGTGCCAAAGGTTGCCAGCCCCACGAGCTCAGAGCTGCAAAGAGGGCAGATGGGCTTGTCCTCACGTGCCACAAACATTCACACGACTATTTTTAGCCCGGTAGCTCAAGCAGAACCAGCTGTATCTGTCTAGTCGGCCTAGGAGGTACACTCCCAGCTGCCATGCAGACAGCCACTTCCCCTGTCTTTTCCCTTCCAGATACAGGCAAGGATCATGCCATCGTTCTGTCTGTGGTATCTTTCCCATTGTTAATGCTACTCGAAGCACTCCTGAAGTTACAGACTCCGAGGGTCTGGTAACAATACACACAATTACAGTGATCTGTCTGGGGCTCAGGTGCAACGCGGCAGCTGCTGCAGTCACTCTTTCCAAGGTGCATTTAATAAAGGCCCTGGAGCAGCTGGCCTAGGGGCCTAGACTGTCTCTTGCCATAGGTGCAACAGCACTGGGTCTGATAAACGTATGGCAGTCGGGTTATACACGATACCGCCTGGAAGGTGGGAACTGCACCCTTCCCTCAGGACTGCCCATCCTGCCACAGGCTAGCACGTGTGGCCACACCTGTGGCATATGCTACTTGTCAGGCTTCTGCAAGCGTGTGGAACAGCAGGTTCAGCAAGTGCTCTTCCATGCCTAGGCTCTGGTGACTGGGCAGGGGTGTAAAACACCCTCGCGCTGCTAGTCCTGCCCTCTGAACTGGGGGGAGGGCGGCCGGGAGAACGCTTTCCTCTTAAGACTTTGTCATTGCAAGATTAAGAACTAAACTTAAAAAAACCACCACCGCCTCACCTCAGCTTCACAACGATCCTCCCCCCTGCCTGCCTGGAGCCTGCCATCTGAATCTCTCACCCACACAGGCAAACAAAGTGTTTCTAGAAACCAAGAAAAAGTCAGGGACTTACAGGGTAAACAATGATTCTGTAGCAAGGTTTGTTATTTCTACTCAAACAGAACCAACATACACGTCTGTACAGAAATTAAAGTGCTCACGCTAGTGTTCACGCATTGTTGCACACCCGCCCTGGCGGACTAGCCGTTAAACATAAAACCATTAAGAGAAGGTTGAGGCAGCAGCTCACTTTTTGAGGAGCGTCCCAGACACGCGGTGGTTCATTTTCACTAAGAGACAAGGGCCAGCTTTCTCCGGAGAGGCAGAGCTGCTGTCACGGACCCTTTCTCCAAGTGCTCGCCTCTGGTCAGAGCCCAGGACGGGGACGTTTCAGCCTAGCAGGTGAAAGTTACAAACCCTCGAAAAGGGAGTTAGAGTTTAAAGGCTTGGGCCATGACAACTACACCAAACCCAGAGTATCCAACATCCGCACTGCAGAGGGGAACCAGAGGCTGAGTTCATGCCAGTGTGAAGTGGGAGGGTTTCAATGTGTAACAGTCCTGGGGGCGGGATGCGGTCAGGGGGAAGGAGAAGTTTCATCCGTGGAGAACTACTGAGAAAGAAATGAAATGAGCAAGTGAAAACTGAGCGTGGGGGTTAACAGAAGCCCAGTAACAATCCCAGCGTTTGCTAATAGCAAACACTATGATCCAAGCGGAGGAAGAGGTCAGAGGCAGTTGGGACCTGGCAATAATGGCCCGCCCCACACTACATTGGCTCAGGGGGTGGGGGTGCTACCTCTGGCCCATCTCGGTTCCCAGAGGGGTCTGACTGCCCACACCCCGTTCAGCAGAGGTGGTGTTTCCATTCCAGCCCCCTTTAATTGGACTCCAGCTCTAAGCAATAGCTCAGGGCCTCTGCTGGCTTCAGCCTGCCCTTAGCACTGGGACTAGAAGCAAGTCCCTTATCCAAAGGGAGTGGAAGTGGCCCAGCAGCTGAAACGCATCCTCTGGGAAATCGGGTTACAAACAGGTAGCGTGTGTTTCACTTGCTATCCAGGGCGTTTCGTACACAGCCCCTCCCCCGGTGGTGCGAGAGCCCCACAGACCGGCTGGGGCGGAACCGACAAGAGGAAAAGCGATTAGAACAAAGCCTGCTAGTTCCCACTTCCCCTGGGACGGAGGGGCTCGGCCCTGCACAGAGCCCACAGCCCTGCTCCCCCAGCTGTAGAAAAAGGAAGACTAAAGGATTAGTGCTCATCCCGTAGCTACCCCCCAGAGCTCTGTCACGGTCACTGCCCAAAGCCTGCGTCCCTCCCTGGCCGGGCCCAGCAGCCTCGAGTCCTTGGTTCTGCTTGCTGAAAACCCGTCTGCCCTGCAGTGGGGAGGTGGGATTGCAGCATGGGGAGACGGCCCCCAGCTAGCTCCTAGCCCCCCACCAGTGTATCCCAGTAACAGCAGCAGCAAGACGGGTGAGGCAGGGGGTGGGAGGCCCTGGTGCTCTCTCTTCCACCCAAACACCCTGCGTAAAGCAGCCGGACCCTCCCTCCCCGGTGCACTTTTAAATTCCAGGCCGTACCTGGGGGCACGGGGCTGGCTTAGAGTTCAAGCCTTGAGGGGTCCATCCCAGGTACTTTTTTATTTAAAGGGATGACTCTGAACGTCTCCTGCCTGTCCTGTCCCTGGCGAGAGAGAGCGGCAGTTGCACTGCGGGAGCCGCAGGCTGGCAGCCGGGTCACTTACATGTGTGTGTAAGGGCCAGGTTTGGATCCCTCTGGTGGCGCGGGAGGCCGGTGCCTCTCTTAGCTCCTGCAGCAGTCAGTGTATGGAGCCAGCAGGTGCTCCCGTCCCACGCTGACGGCAAGCCCTACGCTCCCAGCACCGAGGAGATGCTGGCACTGCTCTGGGCACTGCCGGGCTGGGCACGGAAACGAATACAAGACTAAAGCAGCTCGACTCCAACCTGAGGCCCTGGCCTCTGAACGGCACAGGAGGGTCCTGGGAAAGTCCATGTAAGGAGCAGCTCTACTTCAGCCCTAAACTCATTTCTGCAAGCGTCTCTCTTTAAACAGCCAAAGAGGTGCCGCCCGCATTCACGGGGAGCTGGAGGGAGCCCGCACCAGGCGCTGGCAGGCTTTGAGCAAGAAGCAACACGCTCCAGCCTGCAGCCCACGGCATTCGCGTCCTCCCTCAGCAGAAGGCGTGCCCCAAGGGCTCCGGCTCCAGGGGAGGCCAGCCAGATCAGCCTAGCGAGGCTGGGAACCGAGCGCGAACCGTTCCACCAGCCCAGCCTCTGGGCCTCACTCCGGCCCTGCAGAGCCCGTGGACAGGACTGGGACGTGCCAGCTCGATGGCCCGGCCCAGCCGGGGCTGAGTAATGCCGGTGAGGACAGGGACATGATGTGGACACGTGTCCCTAAGGGACCAGCCTGAGTCTCACACTCCTTGCACACAGGCCCCTCGCCAGCAGGGCCACGGCCAGACACCTCAAGGGGAGGCTCCCTGAGCCCACGCCCGAAGCCAGCCCGGCCAGTCAGAGACCAACGCGGCCCTTTAGACGCGAATGCACCAACCGGAGAGCACCGAGCAGCTGGCAGAGGGAGTGCTGGAACGCCAATGGAGGCTGGCATGCCGGACCATGCTAGGAGGGGCTTGCTGGGGCGCAGAGGCAGCGTTAGAAATGGGCTTCTCCAAAGGAGGAGTTAGAGCCGTGATCAGCGTGGGAGGAGAACGGACTGCTGCACACAGCAGCTCTTCCTTACCACAGCCACCTCCCTCCTCTCGGCCCGGCCAGCAAGCACCTGCAGGAGGGAACTCAACACTCAGCACAGGCCGGGGGCAAATCACCTGCAAGCGGCAGAGCCCGGAACGCCACTGCCCCCAAGCACAGGCGTTTTCAGAGCTGGGTTCAGAACCCGCTGAGCTGCCCCCCAGCAACAGGCAGCGTGCTGGGCTGGTCCCAGAGTCCCAGGGCAAAGCACTCCTTCGGGCCTGGGCGACATCTCGCTCCCTGGCCCGGGGGCCGCCCCCAGTGGCGGCTAGTTCAGATCTTGCAGCCCCAGCGCTGCAGCCGCGCCCCTCTGGAACGCCCAGTTCTCTCCAATGTTCTTTGGTGCACTGGGGGACCCTAGGCCTGCTCCTCCGCACTGGGGCCTCGGAAGAGCGACTGCTTCCTCAGGCTGAGCCGGGCACACCTGGGGCACGTCGTTGAGTTGTCATAGTAGCAGTCCCTGGAAGTGAGGAGGAGGAAGGTTACACCCATTGGCCCTGCTGTCAGGAGCGTGGGGCTCAGGCCAGCCCTGCAGCCTCGCCGGGCGCTTCTGCTGGCAAGGAGCTGCATTCCCCCTAGAATTCACAGCCAGTGCCCCCCCAGCTGTGGGAGCCACCCGCAGTGCCCTTACAGAGAGCATGGCTGCCAGCAGACAGGTGCAGACCCACAGGAGAGGGCAGCATGGCAGGGAGCAAGCCAGCTCCTCCAGGCAGCCCAGCCCCGCCCCATCCTCCCCCACCCCAGCACTGGAGAGGTCCAAGGTGCCACACTCGGGACCCGCTTCACCCAACTGCACGTGAACCGACTGGCCAGCCACGGTCATCGCTGGGCCAAGTGCACGGGCAGCACCCCAGGCACTGCCCAGCAGAGAGCAGGATCTCAGCCAGCAGCTTCACCTCCCCAGGGGCTAGTGCCAGGTTAGGCCAGAGGCAGGGTCAGCCCAGTGCCGGTTCCTTGCAGTGCCACCTGAGGGCACCGTGGGGTCTGGCTCCGCGTCCGGCTCATTTCACAGTCCTGCATATCTTGGGGCTCCCCCAGCACAGAGCTCTCCCTGCTCGCCCTGACTAGGCCCCATGCTCCCAGCCGGGGCTGGCACAGGACGCCGTGGGGGCTGACATGCGGCCCCAGGCTCCTCCCCACCCACCTGTGGAAGACAGCAGAGCAGTCCGTGCACACCGACGTGTGGCTGTCGAACGGGAAGAGCACGTCCCCTTCTTTGCAGAGCTCACACACAAAGCCCTTCGCCTGGCACCGCTGGAGACAAGAGTGAAGATCGCTGAGCCCTGTGCAGCACGTGGGCCCTTCCCCCTCCCCACCAGTACTGGGATCCAGGCCCCCCCATGGAGCTGCTGGCTCCAGCAGATTGCACACTGGGGTGTCAGAGCCCTGGGGCCCGAGTGCTTCCAGGCCCTGCTCTCCCAATCCTGTGTGCCCCATCCCCACCTCCGCTACCTGCGGGGGCTCAAATACACCAGGGCAGTGGCAATGGCGCCGCCCCCCACGCAGCCCTGACTCAAAAGGAGGAATTCCTCCCACTGCACGCCCGCTCCCTACCAGCTCTGTCGTCCTAGGGTTGTTACTGGGGGAGGGCAGGGCCTGGCCCCCCCACCTCCCCTGTTTGCTAGGGGAGGGGTTTAGACACAAGCATTTGTCTAACAATGAAGATGCAGAAATTAGAGACTTTGCAAACATCCAGGGAGGCCAGGCTGGAGTGGGGGTTTCCGGCCCCTCAGACAGCTGATCCCCAGGGGATGGGTCAGCCACCCAGCCCCACCTCGCAGTCCAGCTTGATGTGCTTGGCAAAGAGGGTGTGGATCTCCGTTAAGGAGCAGCTGAGGCGCCCAGCCTGGATGTCGACCAGGTCCTGCAGCGAGTACATCTCGTCGTTCTCCACGAAGTGCTGCCGGTCCTGCAGCTGCAGGGGAAGAATCGTCAGACCATGACGCTCCCCAGCCACCTGCCTGCCCCCACCCGCCAAGGAGCCTTCCCCAGCTGGGGCTTAGACAGGGAGCAGAGTCCAACTAAGCCCTGGCCAAGAGCTCTCCGCTTTACCCTGTGGCTGAACCATCATCACGCACTGGGGTTCAACGTGCCCTTCCTCCCCGGCCCGGGGCTCGTCCCCAGCAGCCCGAGTCTTCCGGGGCTCAGGGCAGGCAGCTACAGGAGCTGACGTTCCACCGAGGACACAGGGCGATTGAGATACAGGCCACCCAGACCATCGCCTGGGCTAGCGACGGCCATCGGACCCAGCCCCCTCCTCCACAGCCTCCCTCGTCCTCCCCCTGCACATGGCTCCTGTCCCGGAGAGAGTCCACGGAACCCACTGCTGTGCGCCACCTCGGGGGGGTCGCAGATCCCCACACGGGAGCACGACAGAGAGGGGTCTCCGCAGCAGCCCCAGGCACCAGAGGTTCGGGACTGGGAGAATCGCGTCCGTGGATTCTGGGCTTGGCCCGTGTGACGCTGACCCCACAGCTCCTCTACCCTCAGGAAACCACAAGGTGGAGCTGATCCCGACAGGGATGGATTAAGGATCTCTCACCCCCAGCAGGTGGGCAGTGCCACGCCTCTCAGGTGTCACCTTCTGGGCTGGAGCGGCCCAGTCACGGCCCGTTCCACCAGCTGGGCACAGGTGGAAGATCTGTACCCTGCCGGGCAGGGGCACAAACGGCTTCATGCGCTCAGGGGTTCAGCTCCCTCCCCATCCCAGCACACTCGCTCGCACAGCAGCCCCTCCCCGTGCAGACACCCCCGCACCTGAAGCAGCAGACGAGCCTCCATGGCCTCTTTGCAGGTGATGAAGTAGGGCTTCATGAGCAGGATATCCTGGCGCAGCTTCTGCGGGGAGACGGGGCTCAGGAAATAGGGCCTGCCCAGCCTCCTGTCCAAACGCAACCGGACACCTCCCAGGGACGCGAAAGGGCCCTGCAGTAGCAGGTGTGGGATAATCTGCCCCCTGGCCCAGTGTCTAGGGGGGAGAAGTCGGGGGAGCACGTGCAACACAGAGCGAAGGGGGCATGCCTGGGAGCTGCTCCCGGCCCAGCCCAGAGCTGGAAGCCCCATGGAACTCCCCCACACGCTCACAAGCCAGTCTGGGGACGGGACCCCAGCCCTTAGAACCAGGGGCACGAGCCCCCAGCGGACGCAGGCACTTACCCGGATCTCCACCAGCTCCTCCACGTAGTTAAAGAGAAGGGGGTTGATTTCCCGCAGCTTGAGCACCGGCCGCGACACCATCAGGGCAAGGTACCGCATGCTGCAGCGGGAGACCTGGGCCCGGAGAACAGAGCGCCCTGTTATTAACCCCGTTATTAACCCCACCCCAGGGGCAGTGGGGGGTGTAAATAACAGCACATGGTTCAGGGAGGGGCCCTGCAGGCCCCCGTGATTAGCACAGAGGGGGTTAGGGGAGCTGCTGGGCGCGGCCCCTCCATACTGACCAGCTGTTCTGGTAGGGCCTGGGAGGGGGTCTGCAGCCCACTCCGGGAAAGGAAAGGGCCAGGGCCCTGCTGTGCTGACACATCTGAGAAAGCCAGCCCGACTCCTGCGCTGTACACGGACCCCGTCTCTCACGGGGCTCCTAGGGCTGGTCCCGTCTTTAAATGAGCCCTGCAGGCCCCGGGCTCACATCCCGGGGCCACCAGGTGCAGACAGGAACTAGCTTCGGTCTCCGCCAGCCGGGGCTGGAGCGGACGCCGCTGGCCCAGGGTGAAAGGCTCCGTGTCCCACCCCCCAGCCTGTGCCCTGGCTCGGCCCAGGGTAGCTGAGCCTCAGTGTCCCCTAGCGTCACCTCCCGCCCTGCCCACGGGGCCGCCCCATCGGCCTGCTCACCTTGCGGGGTTCGAAGTCCCAGTTGTGGATGACGCGGGCCGGGATGATGGCCAGGTCGTTCCAGTGGCAGTTACCACAGTAGTACAGGCCGGTGTAGTCGCACTGCCTGGCCTCGCTGGGCACACCCCCTGCATGGGACACGGGGCCATCACCCCATCATGCCAGGAACAGCCCCAGGGCCCCAGCCCTGCCAGGTCCCCCGTCCCAACCCATTCCAGACCCAGCAGGGGTCTCTGCTCTCACCTGCCAGGGCAGTGCCTGCTGCTCCCCTTAGCCGTGAGGCTGCAGAGCCTCCCAACACTTCAAGCGTGTGCCAAGCCCTGTGCTCGGGAGGCTGGGCGAGTGTCACCGGCCCTGTTCTGCACTTGGGAAACTGAGGCTCGGAGAGGGGAAGTGACTCACCCATGAGCACACGGTGAGTCAGGGCAGCGCCAAGACCAGACTCCACGTGTCCTGATGCCAAGGCCTCTGCCCGTATCTCTGCTGTCATCTCCCACTCCCTGTGCTCAGCCCATGCTCCCTTCACTCCATATACCCAGAGCAACCTCTGGCCACACCCCTGCAGAACCCCCACCCCAGGGATGCCGAGAGTGGGCTAAGCGCAGGCCTGGGAGCCAGGAACTCCCGAGATCTAACCCCAGCCGAGCTCCGCTCCCTCCGTGCTCTGTGCTCCAGCCTGCTCACACACACGCCAGGGTGACCCCACTGACGTGTTGGCCACAGGGATCGCCCCCCTCCTGCTAACGGAGCTCTGCTTCAGATGAGCGGGAAGGTCCCCGGTCCCGGCGCACGCAGGCTGGTAACTGCGAAGGTTAACGGCGATCCCTGGTCACGCCTCAGCCCCAGCGTCCTCTCCCGCGCGGGTGGCACTTACGGAGGGAGATGGGCGCCCGGCACTCGGCACAGCGGTAATCCTGGCTGTCCAGGCCTGTCTCGGGGCAGATGCTCAGCTCGTACTCGGCCTGGTGGCTGACCTTGGACCTCACGCAGGGCTTGGTGATGAGGTTCAGGCACTTGCTGTGACAGCGATAGTAACACCCTGGGGAGGACATGGCACAGAGACCCAGGAGTCACCCGCCCGGCCTGGCCTTCCCCTTGCTTCAGCCTGACCCGGCTGGGGAGCACCCAGGCTCCTTGCCAACACTCCCACGACACTCAGAACTGGCCCAGCCCTGCAGGAGACAGGCCATCCTGCATGGCGGGGAAAGGCTCAGAGCAGAGCGGGTGGCAGCGGAGAAGCGACTGGGCATTTATGCCATCAGGAGTCTGCGGCAGGACCCAGGTGACCGGCAGAGGCACCCGTCCGGCCCGGGGGCTCTGCCGCCTCCTGTCTGCCCTGCAGCTTTGGCTGAGCTCCAGGGGATCAGCGCCGCCGGGAAGGAGAACAAGCCTTCGTCCTGCCCCAGGGCTGGGGAGCAGGGAGGTGCTGCCTTGACAGGGCTGGTGCTCACCTGTGCAGGTGTACCAGGTCTGAATCAGGCCCCAGATGATGGCGTTGCACTTGTCACACGTCTGCTTGACGCTCTTACTCTTCTCCTTGTAGAAGCGATGTTCCAGGAGCACCCGGATGTTGGGCTCGTCTTCGCTGGGGTCCTGCAGCGGAGACAGACGGCCAGAGCGGGGCTGAGCCTGAGAGACATTCGCCTCCTTTGCACCGAGAGCCAGGCCATCGCCTCCTGCGGGCACCGCTGCCAACACCCCGGGGTGGGGCCCCCGCTCCCTGCCCGGGCTGCGGAACCTCAGAATCCTGCTCAGCGCTGCCAGGGCCCTCGTTGGCAAGTCAGCAGGAAGGTCCAGGCACCTGGCACAGGGCGGGGGATCCTGCCCTTTGCTACCTGGGTGGGCTGCTCTGTGCCCACACAGCCGAGGCCTCAGCCAACAGAGCCACTAGCTGGCCGCAGCCCCCACCCCGTGCCCAGCCCCCGGCCACACCTTCAGCTCCTGGAGTTTCAGGCGCAGGTGGATGAGCCTCACCACCGCGTCTTTCTGCCTCTCCGAGTGCTCAGGGAGCTCCAGGATCACCTGCTTGCACTCCTCGATCGCTTGCCGCAGCTGCTGGATGTCGGAGGCCAGGAACAAGCCCTGCAGGCAAGAGACGGGCAACGCTGGTGAGCAGCGCTGTCCCGCTGAGCCCAGGCACGGTGCCCTTCCGCACCCCGGGCACAGAGACTTCCCGGGCTGCCCCTGCTGGGCCAATCAACGCCGCACCACAGCTCCTCCAGACGCCTGCCAGCCCCAACCTTCACCCAGCCGCCCCCGGGAGACTCGTGTGCCCCAGCCACCCCCCGCGCAGTCACTCACCACAGGGCGGGAGAAGTGGTCCTCCGCCAGCCCCAAGTCCATCACGCGCTCTGAGCACTGGAACCCGGGGTCCCCGTGGGACAGCCCCAGCAGCGAGTCTGCAACAAGCAGAGACATATGGAGAGGGAAGGGAGAGCAGGGAGACACCCCGCACCACCCCCACGAGATGGTCTCAGCCCAGCTGCAGGGCAAGCGCCAGGCTCACCCCCTGCAGAACATGGGCACCGGTGCCCCTGGAAGCCCCACAGCACTGAATGGTGAGGGGCACTGGGCGTGGGGGCGGCTCTGGGCACGAGGCCCCAGGAGCAGCAGCACTTAGCGGCCCCTCCCAGGAGCACACCCCAAATCCTGGGGACACAGGAGAGGTGTCACTCGAGGGCTGCCCCTGCACAGACCTTCCCAACTGAACACCCCACAGCAGGACACGGGTGGGTTCGGAGATGCCCACTCCCCCCTCCCCCACACAGCCCCCACGCTCAGCCTCCAGACATGCTGGGAAAGCGCTTTCCCGTCTCACTTCGCAGCCTCCCTGCCCCAAAGAGTGACCAGCTGCGGCCTGTGCAAGATCTGCCCGTGCTCAGAGCTTCACAGCTTCCAGGCACGAGTCACCTGGCCACGCAGCCAGCGGGTGGACGAGCCGGGGTTAGAACCAGGAGTCGCTAGAGCCCCGGCTGCCTTTCTGGCAGTCTGCCCAGTGTGAGGAGGTCACCTGGTCCACAACCCCCTTATGCTGGGAGAATCTAGTGTCCTCCCCCCCCACCTCCAGGGTGTGGGGGAAGCCTCCCAGACAATGGCACTTACGTCTCTGGCAGCCCAGGGACTGGGCAGGAAATTGGCTTGCAGGGATCCGGTGGGGGATGACTGGGGTTAGAGGGGGCCCCCACCCCTTTGGTTGTGGCTCTCAGAGCTCCCTTGGCCAGTGCCAGCCCCTGGTCACTGCCTGCTCCCCAGCAGCAGGTAGGCGTGGGCGAGGGAACCCCACACTAACCTCGACAAGAAAGGTCGTCCCCAGCCTCCTGGTCATGCTGGCCTTGCCCCGGCTGCTTGTTGAAGGGGTTGAGGTGGGCCTGTCGGAACCGGAGCAGCTTCTCATCACATTCCATAGCAGGCCAACCTGCCGGACCACGCAGAGGTGAGGGGAGCCCGCGCCAGGGCACGGCACCTGCCCCAGGTGCTCACCCCTCTCTGCCTGTGACACTAGAGCAGGGGAACAGGCTAGAGCTGGCAATGCCTGATCCTTCCCTCCCACAGCCCAGCCCGGCCCAGCCAGCTTCCACTTAAAACTGGAATCGATGGATCATTTTTCCCAGCCACTACCGAGCCGTATCACCCCACGCCGCTCACACACTGTGCGGTTTGTGCTCCACAGCGGAGGAGGTAGAAAAACCAGTCTCTCCACCTACCTGTGTCGCCAGAACAGCTTCCAACCAAGTCCGCCAGACACCTGAGAGCCCGGCACGTGGCACCCCATCATTACAGCACGCGCCCCAGCTCCGGCCACCTGGAGTTACTACTACCAATGGCACTCTACAAACGTGTGCTGACAGTGCTCATTGTGCTACACACAGGACACACACCTCGCAAGGGCCCCTGCCCTGAGGAGCAGACCGACATGGTTACAGGTGGGGAACTGAGGCACAGAGACATGAAGTGACTGGGCCAGGGTCCCACAGGCCAAGAATTAAACCCCACTCCCAAGTCCCAGTCCAGTGCCCTCCCCACACAGTCAGGCTTCTTCCGACGGCCAGGTCTACACTCCAAAGACTGATGTCTCCGAGTCGACCTCTCAGGGGGAAAAAATCCACCCCCCGCGCGACAAAGCTACGCTGAGGAAGGCCCCGGCGTGGAGAGTGCTGGGCTGACAGAAGAATTCTTCCATTGACCTAGCTCCTGCCTCTCGGGGAGGTGGACTGACCCTGCCGACAGCAACTGGAGCGAGCGACTACGCTGCAGACAAGCCCTTAGTCACACAACAAAACTGCTTTCCCTGAAGTTATGTTGAAATAGCTGCTTAATTTCCAGAAACCATTTCTGATCCCATTTAATGAAGACACACTGTCAGGATCAGTCTGGCCTCTAATTGTAATGCTGTAACCAAACAGACAGCCACACACGAGCGTTTCCCAAACCCATGACGCACACAGAAACACGTGTCTCTATTCAAAACTCAAGAGTGAGCAGTTATTTTTCTAAACCATTCCCCTGGCATCGACACCCAAACAAATCAGCACCCAGACCCGAGGGAGACGGAGTTTCATTGTGCAATGCCAGAGATGAGCACAGAGGAAGCAGAACCTTGCTAAGGGCAGGGATACATTATTTGCTACTTCCACTTTCAAAAATCCACACTTCATTAGCAGCCTGGGGAAGGAATTTGGTTTACAACAGGTGTGTTTTGAAGTTGCAGTCCCACCGTAGAGACTAGGCAGCTCCATTCCAATGCACACACCAGCTAGATTTAGGCCCCAAATAAAGCATTTTAGGCCCTTCAATAGACGCTATTGAAAAACACCAACAGTGGTGCCTAAAGCCAATTGTCACTCAAAGCCAGGTTGGCAGCCAGGGTGGGATTTCAATGCTGGGCTGGGCGCTTTACTCACAGTGAATGTAGCCGGGTTTTGACAGTTTCCTGTGTGGGATTTTTAAAAGGATCGCTGTGCTGCTGTGACAAAACTGGAGCGGTGGTGCTATCCGCACACCCAACTAAAACCACCACCAAGTTACTGCCCCTCCCTCCCACCTGCCCCCAGAGCTCCCATGGCCAGAGTGGGCTGATAAACATGCTCTGTGTTTATATAGGGCTTCACAGCACAAGAACATTGCACCCACAGCAAGAATGCTCTACGGCCTGCCATGAGAAAGGGCGTTTTATAGATGGGAGACCAGAGAGGGGAAAGGGACTCACCAAGTGTCACCCAACCAGAGCTAGGGGCAGGATGCAGATTTCTGCAGTGGCCTAGAAATATTGCAGAACCTGGTGCCTAAATGCCATGGTGATGGGCACCCCAGAATCCCCAGGCCGCCCCACCTGTGGCCCCCTGGGCTGGGGCACAGGGCAGCCCCTCCTATTCCCTGCTGCCCTAGTCTGGGGGCAGGCGGCTGGAAGGATGCCTGGGCCTGGGGCATTCGGCAGAACCCCTCCCCCTCCCTGGCCGGTTTCTCGGGGTCACGGGGGCTGATCCCGAGGCTAGAGCCACGCGCGCCTCTTCCCGTCCCCACGCAGGAAAGTGACAAGTGGGCCTTGAACACGCTGCAGCCCCCCCGCCCCAGGGGACAGCAGCGACCGCTCCCGAGCTGCCCAGGGCCAGGCTCGGCCCGAGCCGCCACAGAAGACCCCACGTTTGGGAGGCTGCAGCACTAGGGGTGAGGGGGCTGGAGGCGACCCCCCAACCTCGGCCGGGGGGACGGGACGCTGCCGGGACGGGCAGGGGGCACCGCCCCGGGGACCCGCCCGGGCACAGCCCGCTCCGCTGCGGCGGGGCCAGGCTCGGCTCGGCTCGGCTCGGCCCTCACCTGCTCATGGCCCGCCGGGTCCGCAGCGCAGGGTCCGCCCGGCCCCAGCACGGCCCGCCGGGTCCGCAGCGCACCCCAGCTGCCCCTGCTACATTGTAGCGAGCTCGGGCGCTGGGGGCGCAGCCGCAGAAGGCGGCGGAGGGGCCGCTGCTGCCCCCGCAGGCCGGGCGGACCGCGCGCCCCAGCCGCTGCCCCGCCCCAGCAGAGCCCGCAGGGGGGGGGACGGACGGGCCCAGCCACCGGCTCGGGCTTCCCTCGCGGGGACCCCCCGCCCCCAGTTTTGTGAACTAGTTACATGCCCAACCTGGTGGCTGAACTTTGTGACTTGTCCTCACCCACAACTGTTTCACATTTGGGGACAATGTGTAGCTTCAAGTCAGCGGCACTGCTATGGGTACCCGCATGGCCCCACAATATGCCAACATCCTTATGGCTGACTTAGAACAACGCTTCCTCAGCGCTTGTCCCCCAGCGCCCCTACTCTACTTGCGCTACATTGAGGACATCATCATCTGGACCCATGGAAAAGAAGCCCTTGAGGAATTCCACCATGATTTCAACAATTTCCATCCCACCATCAACCTCAGCCTGGACCAGTCCACACAAGAGATCCATTTCCTGGACACTACTGTGCTAATAAGCGATGGTCACATAAACACCACCCTATACCGGAAACCTACTGACCGCTATACTTACCTACATGCCTCCAGCTTCCATCCAGGACACACCACAGGATCCATTGTCTACAGCCAAGCTCTAAGATATAACCGCATTTGCTCCAATCCCTCAGATAGAGACAAACACCTACAGGATCGCTATCAAACATTCTTAAAACTACAATACCCACCTGCTGAAGTGAAAAAACAGACTGACAGAGCCAGACGAGTACCCAGAAGTCACCTACTCCAGGATAGGCCCAACAAAGAAAGTAACAGAACGCCACTAGTCGTCACCTTCAGCCCCCAACTAAAACCTCTCCAGTGCATCATCAAAGATCTACAACCCATCCTGAAAGACGATCCCTCACTTTCACAGAACTTGGGAGACAGGCCCCTCACTTACAGACAACCCCCCACCCTGAAGCAAATACTCACCAGCAACCACACACCATTGAACAAAAACAGTGACCCGGGAACCTATCCTTGCAACAAAGCCCAATGCCAACTCTGTCCACATATCTATTCAAGTGACATCATCATAGGACCTAATCACATCAGCCACACCATCAGGGGCTCATTCACCTGCGCATCTACCAATGTGATATATGCCATCATGTGCCAGCAATGCCCCTCTGCCATGTACATTGGCCAAACCGGACAGTCTCTACGCAAAAGAATAAATGGACACAAATCTGACATCAGGAATCATAATATTCAAAAACCAGTAGGAGAACACTTCAACCTCTCTGGTCATTCAGTAACAGATTTAAAGGTAACAGAGGGTCCTGTGGCACCTTTAAGACTAAAAGAAGTATTGGAGCATAAGCTTTCGTGGGTGAATGCCCACTTCTTCAGACGCAAGTAATGGAAATTTCCAGAGGCAGGTATAAATCAGTATGGAGATAACGAGGGAGGGTGAGGTGCTCTGCTAGCAGTTGAGGTGTGAACACCAAGGGAGGAGAAACTGTTTCTGTAGTTGGATAGCCATTCACAGTCTTTGTTTGATCCTGATCTGATGGTGTCAAATTTGCAAATGAACTGGAGCTCAGCAGTTTCTCTTTGGAGTCTGGTCCTGAAGTGTTTTTGCTGTAAGATGGCTACCTTTACATCTGCTATTGTGTGGCCAGGGAGGTTGAAGTGTTCTCCTACAGGTTTTTGTGTATTGCCATTCCTGATCTCTGACTTGTGTCCATTTATCCTCTTGCGTAGTGACTGTCCAGTTTGGCCAATGTACATAGCAGAGGGGGCATTGCTGGCACATGATGGCATATATAACATTGGTGGACGTGCAGGTGAATGCGCCCGTGTAGTGTTTGCTGCTCTGG